TATTTGGGGATTACATTATTCCGTTTTCAGGTGAGTAGTTTTAAGCTACACATTTTTATAAATGTTGCCTTACCCTGAACTATTGGAAAATTTAATTGTTGTTTCAAGACTAAATTGTTTTGATAAATTATTATAGTATCAATGGAATTAAATTATTTCTAAAACATTTGTAAACTTGGCATACTGTAAACTATTTATTATGGTCTCGTGTTTGTAATGGTGAACTACCCTGTTTTGCGAAACTAAATTGTATTAATTATTGGGGTTATCTGTATATAAAAGTTCAGGAAAATTATTCCACTGTGTGTAGTGACTCTGGCCACTGGGGAACAGATCCCGGTTGGGTTGTCATGACTCTAGTGCTCAACGATTGTAAGGGAAAGACCTAGGCTAGGCTAGGCAACTTTCAATTAGATTGTCTTAGAGAAAATGCCTGGGTTGCCACCCCAATGATGACTCTTGATTCGATATTGGATCCAACGGGCTTATTGCCTTGAAAACTTTGTGGCATGTTACTTGTTATTCTTGATACCTAGAAAATTATGATGATCATGTTGTAATCTGTTTTAAGTGGAGAATGTCATTTGTAATGTTCTTGAGAGACATAAGTATTTTAACTGTTGAATTGTGGAACCTTCTTTTTTTTGAAACAGGATGTCTTTATTAAAACTGTATGCCAATCTAGTTTCTGTGGTATATATCTTATTTTGGAATTGAACCCTGTTTTTCAAAACTATATTTGCTATATCATACTTCTACTCACTGAGCTATCAGTTGACTTAGTTGTTTATCATTTCCATGTGATAGAAGGACTTAGAGTGGACTCATGGCGTAGCTGGGATTCAATTGCATGGACCTCTAGGACATTCATTATTTTGTTTTAGCTTGTTATGTTAGTTTTGTGCATACATTGTGTTTGGGTTTTATTTAGAATTATTTTATTTTGTAGGCGGTTTGTGTTCCATTTAATATATAGTTTTGGAAGTTGGTTATGGTTAGTTTTACCATTTATACTCGTGACATGTCACTGGATTGAGTTTTGATTTATTTATTTCTAGACTATCGTTACATTTATTCTTTGTGATTTTGAGTTCGTGTTTAGGCTTATGTGTGCCTTGGGCTAAGTCCCTGTGGGCCACGGTTGGTCATGCCTAGATTTGGGGTGTGACCGACTTTATTTGACAAATATTTCTTTTCTATATGTTTTTCATAGTAAATTGATATAATCCATAAACCCAATACCAAATTTTACGTTTTATGTTTTTCTTCTTAATTCTTTCAAGGGTGTTTGGATTTTTTTTAACGCTAAATTGCCTTCTTTTTTTTTAATTATTTTTCCGTGCATTATTTTATATCTAATACCAATTCTATATTATTCTATATTATGATTTTGTTGTTTAAATTTTATAGTGATTCTATATATTAAATTATGCTTCATTTCCTACATTATTTTATATAGAGAGGTACTATTAGTACCTGCCAAAATACTTTGGATCCCCCATTTCTTTGAGCCCCACCCTAAATCCTAAATTCCAATAAAATTTCTTTGAACACCCCACTTAATACCAAATTTATCCCTATTCATAATATTATCACACCCAAGACACACCACTTAATTTTGTACACCCTCTCTCATTCTCTTTTTGATGACTGTCCATCTCCTATTGAAAAGAACGCCGACGATCATTGCATCAGTAAACACCATTGCCTTAGTAAAGTGCATTGCATCGGTGATCCATCATTGAAATTCTTGTCAAATCTCAACGAAAGGAATAATCGACTTGACGATGTCCAAAGAATGCCGTCGAAAACTCGTTAGGAATTTCTGTCCACATCGCCTCTCTTCTTCCTCACAGGTAAATACCGACTTCCCATCTTATCAATAGCGTTGCCTCTCTTCTTCCTATCAAATTTTTATTTTTTGGTTTATTTCGGCATAAAAGAGAGTTTTAGAGGGAAAAAACCCTCACGAAAAACACAATCTGGTGTTGAAGATACAAAAATTGAACCATTCGACACACCAATGTCGAAAATAAAGGTCATGTTCGATTCAACAGTACCGACTATCTATATTACTGTTTCGAACCCATATATTGAACTAAATGTTTGCGTTCAGTACTATGGTACCGAACATAATCTTAATAGTTGGTAAACTAGTACCGAACAGCCCGAACAACAGCTTCATCAGAATTGTTATCATCGTCCTCCATTGCTCTACGAGGTGAAATAACTAATGAAGTGTAATACACTGGACTTGAAATGAGCTTTCTGGTTCAAGGTTTCTGGTTTAGGAGAGTTTCTGGTTTAAGATGGTTATGAAAAGTAACAGGTTTAGGGTTAGAAAGGTGGAATACATATAGCTAGAGGTAGAAGTAAAGGTCGGTGTAGGGGTGGGGGTGGGGATGGGTGTGGGTGTACAATATTGTATAGTGTTAGTTCTTATTTAGTAGGTGGGTGTTCCATTAATTGAAGTCTTTTAATGTAATTTTACTTCAGAGTATAATTGTAATAAAGGAAAATTAGAAATTGAAGGGTCAAAAGAATTTAGGCAGGTTCAAATAGCAACACTCTTTATATAATCACAACTCGCAAGAGAAAAAACTTGCACAATAATGATACTCTCGAGGAACCTCTAAAGTTTGGATTTACTATTTGAGTTACTTTTTCAATTATTGAAAAATAAGTCTTTGTTATTAATTCTTCTTCTAATTTAACTATTATTTTTAATATAGTTAATTATCCAAAAGTCTTATTTATAAATGTCATGGTAGATCAGGTCCTATTTAAGATTTTTTGAACCAATAAGTCCTATTTAGTAAAACTAATAATATTATCTTTTTTTTTTTAATTTTTAAAACTAAAAATATTATCAATTTTGTATAGTAATATTCTACATAATTGTTTCACTAATTGATGGAAAAAAAAAATCACAAACAAACAAACAAACATGAGATTAAACGTTTTTACCCTTTTAGTTATTGGTTTGATTCAACTATCCAATAAAACGAAGAACATTAAAAGTTTTTTCCATTTTAAAACTGAAAACATTGTAACGCCTCGAAATAATTACTATAACCCACACTCATCATCAATCAGGGACCACAATAACAAAGTAGTTATCTTTCATTGATTTACAATTTAACTTTACAAAAGAGTGAGATGGTAGACAGACAAGATGAAAGTTAGACAAATAAGAAATGCCTAAAGGCTTACATCTTTCCAAGACAATACATGGTTACAACAAAAGTGGATTTAAGTCCAATACAATTAAAGTCCTTAGCTTGTACAAAATAAATACAGTAAATACACAAAAGAAGCTCTCGCTCCAAGTCCTCCCAAGCTATTGTCTTGGCAGAGGCATATCATCAGCACCTGAAATGTTTTTCCCACATAGAGTGAGCCAAAGCTCAGTAGAAATAATCTAATACAGTATATGAATCTTAACAAAGTTATAAGGTAAATACATATGCAATGTTCGTGCCAAAACATTTTGATATCCCTTTCCAAAACAATACAATGTCATAATAGTATCATAATAATATCGAACACACTCTTTGAATCACTTTAAAATTGTAGAGATTGGGAGAGAAAGGAAAATGATTGATTATTAATTTGATATAATATCAAAATCGCCTATCTAAAAATATAAAAATATATTTTGATGATATAATTTATAAAAAAATTCTTTTTCTTTTATATAGGGGTGTTTTGGAAATACGGTAACAAGTTGATTTTTGACTTTTAATCAAACTTTTTGACTTTTTTAGAAAGTAAGGTAGGAAGTTGGTAAAAAGATGCTTTGGGCTTTTTTGAATTAATATTTGTTTATGATGTCACATCACAATAAAATGACTAAAATACCTCACCCAAATTAAAAAATTTACTTTTTGACCAATGTGGCTCATTTACAACATAGAGGGTAATCATGTAATTTCATTCCTTGCTTTTTTACAAACTTGCCAAATGATGTTTAGCTTTTTATAACTGCTTATAGCTGCATTTTTTGAAGCTGCAAACGCAGCTTTTAATTGGTTCCTAAAAGACCACATAGTCTATCTAGACAAAATTGGATAGAAATCATTATCTTTTATTTTCTTTTTTCTCCAACCTCTCTCTCTCTCTCTCTCTCTCTCTCTCTCTGTGTTAATTTAACAAATTATTTCTTCTCTCTCCTAGATATCCAAAGAATGCTCAACTTGAGAGCCCAACCTCAAGAGATCAAAAATGAAAAATTCAAGCACGCCTTGGCTATTAAATTTTGATAAGAAAATTCCTTCATTGGCTGGCAATGAATAGAATTAGGGGGGGAAAAAACAAAGCAATTTTTGTGATCCTGTTTATCATATAATGTGATTCTACATGAGCAATATTACTTCACAAAAATAAATCATAAAAAAATTTAGAGAAAAGAGAAAGAGATGAGATCTACTCCTTTGTGGTTCATACTTACCACTAGATAGTTTTGGTCAGGGATGACCAGTTGCCCTTGGTTTCTTACCCTAATTATCATGCAATATGACAAAAAAAAATTATAAAAATTGAAATTAAATACAATAATGTGATTTTTAAAAAAATGGTAAAAACATGTTAAGCTTATGATTTTCATAAAAGTAGTTTAAAAATTGACTAATTCATTTGAATGATGATATTTTCACATATTACTTGAGAATAAATATGTAATTTCATATACATAATCACCATCAAGTTTTATCTCAATTCAATTCTCTATTAGAGTCGACGTTATAGATGAGGTGTTCCCTTACCAAGTGTAACAAAGTGTGATGTCCCGACACTTCACAATCTATCACAACACCAATTGGGTTCCTCAAAGCTGTGAAGTAGGATGCCGTGTTCCCTTACCAAGTGTCATTGGGCTATGTTCGAGAACCAAACATTTTAGAGAAAAAGTCACTACAAAGTATTAATTCATTCTTTACGTTTTGCATATTTTTCATAAAAAGTTAAAAAATAATTTAAAAAAGTCAATTACCAAATGAGTCTTGATGTCCGGTCACTTTCACAATCAATTACAAACACCAAAGCAGTGAAGTTGTGGAACTGTTAAAATGAACAATATTGAATACAAAATTCCCTAGCCCTTTCATAATTCAGTAGTACTTTTTGGCAGCTTCCCTTCATCAACAATAATCAGTTCCATACAACATTTAATTTTCTCTATATTTAAACCAAAAAAAAAAAATCCTCAAATAATGTAGTTCCCTTTGAATACATGGAAATAGGGTAAGCAGAGCCTACCCAATGTTAACCGTGCCAGCTTGGGAAGAATTAAACCTGGAATTGCAGATGCTACCAACTTTCAGTTATGAAACAGACCCGAATCCATTTCAGCTGAAAACAGAAATCAAGCGAATCTCCCAATAACCTGTAAATTTTGAAGTGCAATATTTTCAAGTTAGGTAGTCCAACTAGGGTAGCTCGAATCAAAACATAAGCCATATCAAACATCAGGAGACATCAAAATTGTTTCATGAAAGAACATACATGACACCTACAAGTCTATAGCCCTAGTTAGAGAAGATTGGACTTGCCTCGGATATTAACGGCTTGGCATTCTTTTCCCACTCTGTTGCCCACCTGGCGGAAGACCCCATCTCCAATGCACCATCCCTTAAGGACTTTAAAGCATTACATTCATCTGGAAAACCCTTGAAAAGCATCTGCATTGGTTTGCCAACTTAAAACTTAAAAATCCCTAGTCATATGTAATGACTATAAGATTTTTAACAACTGCTCAATATCAAAATACATTTGCTATCCATAGAAGGATTAAATATATTCCATCTACAAGCAAAAAGAGGCAAACAAAACAGTAATTTTTCTATACAGATTTGGCAGATGTCCTTGCTTTGGAAGTGTGAACTCCAGAAATATAAATTGCTTATTGCATGTTGCCATGAAACAAATTCCACCAAAATGGAAATTCCTTGGGGTTCTTTTGCTTAGCAAGATAGTGATGGAAAATGCCTGTAGGAAAAAAAAGTGTAGGAAACTGAAATTTCCCGTGCAACCCTCTTCAGCTTCTAAACTTTGATTTTGGTTTCCAACAAAATATGCATGGAAGTTTTTTTTCCCATAAAAGGAACAATTATCACGCTTTCCAGATTTGCCCATGGATCCACCCACTTGTTTAAAATGGACAGGGACAAATATGTAAAATACAAAAAATCCCTTTAAACTTTCATGCTTTTCAAATTGCCAAGCTAAAATTTTCAATCATTTTCTTGCAAAATTTTCATTCTAATGCATGTAAGAAAATAAATTTTCTTTTCTTTTTCCGTTTTATCACTTCACTTTCAACCATTTTCATTTTCCATCATTATTTTATTATGGAATGGACCCATGAGAAAATCATTCAGTTTCAACAAGCCATTTCCTATGTGCCTATCCCACGCTTCTTTACCTGTTCGGTTTTGAGAACCAAGCTGAAAACTACAACCCAATAATCCAGAACTCGGCCCATTCTGTTTTGTGCTTATTGAGTAGCTGTGTTTTGAATAATCATTCACAATTTGAAAATATACTACATCAAGTGAAATTGATTTTTATTTATTCAAAGCACTATCTGAAATGTAACAAAGGAATATTCTGTTTTTAACAAAGATGGTAAAATTTAATGATAAAAAATAAGAAGCACATTCCCAGATATCAGATACATCAGACAGTAGTGAAAAAGACTAGAAATAGATTTGCAATGATACATTACTTCAATTCAAACAACTTACCAAGAGTTCATCAGCTAGCTCTGAAGATGATGAGAAAAGCAGGCCATTTTTTTCAACTTTTACAAGTTCCTCTATGCTTCATAAAAGTCAATGAGAAAAGTTGGAATGTATGTCATGTCTCATCCATAAAAATCACAAGACAGGTACAATGAAAAAGATGTACCGATTTTTTTTACCAAGAGTATGAAACAGCACAAACAGGCAGTCCACAGCCAAACATATCAACAACCTAGTGAAAGAAAATTTCAATTATAATAGGGCAGTTATATTAGTTAAGTTTTTTCATCCAAAAAAAATGCCCAGCTTCTTCAGTAGGTACTAGAAACTTGACAACTGAAATACCTTCATTGGAAGATCCAAGCCAGATGACGAGGTATGCAGGCACACACCTAGGTCTGCTGATCCTGTAACCGTAGCATCGATCCAGTTACTGTAATAAAGTAAGTGCAAGCAGTTGTAATTAAAACAAAAGCAGAAACTATACATCGCCTACCAAGAAGTAAAGGGTAATCCTCAGCTGATAACCACATGGTACGAAATGATACACGTTTGAGGTTCAGTTTCTTTATTTTCTCTTCATATTTTTCCTTTTCAGGTCCTTTACCTTCATGTAAATTCAAAATCGTTCAAGTCAAAAGTGATAACATAGCTCTTCTCATTCAACTAAAACTGAATTAAAATGAATTTGATCTTGCATGTAAAGAAAGTGCATTACCTGTAATGATAAATAACAACATTGGGTACAAGAACTGCTTCCCATCATAAATTTCCTTCCATAGAACCTCTTCCCCAGTTGAGTCATCTTCATTTAATAATGCAGCAACACGTCTATCATACATAACTGCTGCTTCCAAAAGAATGCCAAAATCTTCATCTGGAGTCCTAAAAAGAAGCATCACTCATCATGATAAAACAGTTTTCTTAGGATTTGAAAATTCTGACAGAAAATATAATTAACAAAAGTTCATTTATGCGGTAAAGATCTTGATGCTAGTTAAAAATCAGTTAACAAGGTACACTAAAAAGGGAAATATTTCTCTTGTTGGTTACATCATTTTACTTATCAACCATAAACTTAAAGGAAACATGACATTCCATAAAACAAAACATTTTATACATGTCCAAAAATGAATTCAATAATGATAACACCTATATATTGAAACCAACTAAAGAATTCAGCATTCCCTCAGACTACCAACAAAGAGAGCACTAATTCAAGTCTGAGAGCAGCCACTTAGCACGAATGAACATTCAGTATATATGTAGTCCTAGCCTTCCCAATAAACAAAGCATGAAGAGCTCACCAGCTTGTACTGCTAACTATAACTGCTGGCCTGTTATGCTTCAAGAAAATGTCATTGTCAACCTGAGCTGTAAATAGAGTTTTATTCAAATCACGGCTCCCAATTTCTACCATTCCTGCAAGAAGCGGGTAAATTACCTAAATTAGTATGGACCCTACTCAACTTCAACTGAAACAAAAAAAGTACATATATTTTCAATCAGCTACATTACCATGGCTGATGCAATCTCGAAGACCATAAGGCTGACTAAGATGGCTGTGTATCCTACAAAACAACTACAACCCACAGTTCATTTTTTATTCTACAAGTCAATGTAATGCCTTTTTTTGCTTTCCTCCGAATGAGAACTTTCCAATAGAAAACTCAGTTCACCTTGTGCTTCTCCTCAAGGGAAGTGGGGCGAAAAAACTCAGGAGGCTGGTCATAAAGAACTGCAGCACTACAAATTTAAAACATGGAAGAAAACAAAAAAAAATGTACCATTAAATGGCTTAATAATAAATTTGAACAAGCAGAATGGAGGCTATTGCAAACTTTCAGGAGACCATCTTACTTAATTCCCCAGTTTTGTGCCAATTCATGTTGCATTGCCCTTGTCACGCATAAGGAACCATTTGCCATCTTCCCAAAATGCTTCTCAAACCTAGACATGCACCAAAAACTCACACTTCAGGTATGAAGACAAAGAAAGGCCTTCAAATCCAAAGGAAAGTTCAATTCAAATGTACCAATGGTATATTGCCACAAAAACACTACTTCTTCCGAGAGACAATGCTAGCAAAGTATATCCAAAATTATGCCAATCAACAATAAATGCAGAACGCCTCAACCAGCTTGCCCACTTTACAGCCACTAAAGTTGGGACAGAAGGTGGATTCTACAGAAGCCGAAACAAGGTAGTTTAGATCAAGATATCAATCCAAGCATGCAAGGCACAACACTCCAATTCAAAACTGACTAGAATCATGGCCAAGCAAACACAGCCATGCATGATTACAGGTTAGGCCCACTTTGGGCCACCTATATTTTTATAGGTTGAAGCTGCTACTACTTTGTTCAGTATGTAACCCGTAGTAAAAAAAGAAAGACAGAAATTGGACACTAACAATTTTCTTTCCCAGAACTTCAAGGCATTCAATAAAAAGAACCAATAAGATAATAATAATGCAAAAAAGATAACATATAATACTTCCTCTAATGAAATTGTTACCAGATATTCTACCTAAATCATGCTTATTTCAATGAACTTTTTCAATGCTAACACTTCAGCAGTTATATAAGGACATGGTTTTCCAATCAAGTTCGAAAGATTTACAGAAAAAAAAAAGGACATCAAAACACTGCCAAAACAATATAACTTAAAAAGTGTCAAACAATAATTTAGGTATTTTGACAATAATTCAGCCACATGCATCTTTCAGAGCTCACCTGCACTATAAAAACATCAGGAGCAGGTATTTTGACACAAAGAAACCAAAGAAGCATAAGAAACTGAATCAACGGCTTGAGCAAAAGCATCAAGGGACGAAGTATCTTTGGTAAATTCCGAGGGATTGTTGGCCACTGTGTCTGCAGAACCAGATTTAAAAAAAATAAAATAAAAAAATACATGTAATGAGTTTCAGAGTTTTGAAAAAACACTCAATCAACAGGACATGCTTAAAACCAGTACCATTTTATGAATATGAATAGATTGGTTCCCTAATACAGCTGAGTGGGGGTCAGAGCCTATCATCCACACATGCAAAGGCAAGAAATAAATTAGTGTACTCAGCAAAACACTCTGAGATTAAAAAAATAAGACAATAAAAAACAATGGATAATCTAGTACATATATTATTAAGAAAACAATATGTTATTTAATATGCAATTTATCCAGAGGTGCTAATTAAGCTGAATGAAAACATCACAACTTTATCCATATGAATTTCAGAATATATAGTTTCATGGGTGGCCTTTGAATGCAGAATTCTTTGTAGCAACAATTGATCATGCCTAAGAGATTGATGTACCAATAGATCAGGGAAAAAGTACAATTTTCTTTTAAAATACCAAAAATGGAGTCCATATTAAATGATCCAAAATCAACCATAAGTTTTTTGGTTTTCTTTCCTCTTCTGGCTGTGCTATAGACAATAGGCAACATTTTAAACAAAAGTAGACACCAGTAAATTGGTGTGATTCAAATCACCATACACATGGCAGGACTCCAATGTACTTGGAAGACTTGGAAGTACATTCCTCAAATAGCTCAAATACAAAAGCAAAGCTCACATGTAGTAGTCATACATGGTTATTGAAGATATCACTCTGTAAAACAAAAAGCTGAAAGAGAGTTCATACTGCCAAATGCAAATAGGGAAATAGGGAGCAAGACATGGATGTACTGAGCAGAGATGTAGTATATGATGGCAATATTGTACACACCTGATACTTTGTTTCATTCCCCACAAACTCAAAACATTACCGGATGCCAAAGGAAAGAAACAGGGGGCGCAGAGAGGGAGGGGTTATCTAATTGCAGAACCTAATAACAGGGTGTCTAGGTTTTTGACATTCAACGGAAAAATAAATAAGCCTAGTCATACATGTCATGCTGAATCCAACTGGAAAAGGCTAAAATACCATCTATGGTTCATGTTAATCTTGCCAAGAATTATGCATCCCAAGTAATGAGCTGCAAGAGAATCTTGAAGTTGGTCTTCAGTTCATATCCGTTACATGGTAACATGTAGGGATGACAATGGGGGTTAATGGGATGGATATTAATTCCCCATCCCCATTCCCCTATAATAAATTTTTCGCATTTCCCATTCCCCGTGGGTACCACCCTCCCCATTTCTTAATGGGTATGGATTTTTCCCAACCCACTTTAATCCTCATTTTTATTTTTTATATTTAATGTTAACAACCACTTTTTTTTTTTCTTTTTTTTTTAAGGTTCACAACAAAAGCTAAATATACCTTCAATCTTTTTTTTTTTCTTTTTTAATATATTTAATGCTAACAACCTTTTTCTTTTTCTTTTGTCTTTTTTTTATAAAGGTTTTAGCTAAATATACCTTCAATCTTTTTTCTTTCTTTTTTAATATATAATATCATATGCAAACAACATATACACCATGGGACATCATCATAAATGTGTCTAGTAAATTCATCTATGATTAAGGCATAGGTAAGGACTCAAAGCTAACCCTTAATGCAACCATTCAGCAATTGAAAATTCTCAAATTTCTCTTACAGTTGATCTAATCATAGTCACTCCATCAACATGTCTTTTATTGCATCAATATACCCTTTGGTCACACTAGTGTTATTAAAGGCGCACCTAGGCATGCAACTAGGCCCAAGGCTTATCAAGGCGCAATTAGTGCCCTTAGAAACATCTCAAACCATGCGATGTAAATAAGCCCCATAAAGACACATGAAGCTTGCGTTTTGCACTTAGGCTCAAGGCACACAATTTGTGCACTTATTCTAAATATTTGCTTATTACAATTACAACTTTTGATTTCACTTAATCTCATTATTTTTTTGTTTACAGCAACAGTAAGGGATTTACAATCTCATTCTCCTCCTCCCTCTCTATGTTTATCTTGTAAGACCCTTCAATTTCGTCGTTATTTACAAATGTTTATGGCTACGAGTTCGATGTTTGTATTTATGTGCAACCTTGAATTATTTGTCTATGATAAAATATTAGTGTCTGTTGGTATTTATATTTTAAAATATTTAATATGATAATTTATTTAAATTTAATTATTTTCTTATCATAAATTATCTATTTTTTATTGTCAACTTGAGCCTCACTTCAATGAAGTTCGCGCCTCGCTTTGTGCCTATGCCCTAGGAAATCTTGGCTTTTCAGTGCACCTGTCACCTTTAATAACACTGGGTCACACATTTTTTCTCCAATATCCACCATAATATCTCTAGGAATCCTATCGTAAGCTTTCTTCTAAACCTATATAAATCATATGTAGATCCCTCGTTTTCTCTATATTTTTTTCTACTAATCTTCAAAGTAAATTTATTGCTTCCATAGTTGATCTACTAGGTATAAAACCATATTGATTCTCTAACACTGTTGTTGTAATCCTTAAATCACTCATTCCTATAATTTTGTTATATGACTCATTAACTAAATACCTCTATATTTGTTGCAATTTTGATCATCTCCTTTATTTGTTATATAGGTAATAAAATACTTTTTCTTCATTTGTCTATGAGAGACTTAAAAAAAAAAAAAACCTTAAAAGATGAATACAATACTATCAAAGGCACACATCTCTGAGGCTCCCCCACAACCTGAGGGAATAGGTTACTTATTCCTCATAAGGCTTATTTTGTGCATCCTTCTTCTATATAGGTGTTGGCCCTTTTTCCCATTCTTCCTATAATTGGATAGGGGTTTTAAAAGTATTTTCTTGAAAGCGCTAGACGTACCCAACTTCACACCCAAGTCTTTCATTTGTTGCAACTTCTCTCCAAGTCTTTTCCTATTTTTCTCCCTTGATGAAGGTTCAGCCACACCCAAGGTTCTGAAAAGCGGTTGCGGTCGCCGTAACGGTGGCGGTGGCGCGGTTGCGGGGTGTAAAGGCCGTAGCGTAACGGTTGCGGTAACCAGAATCGTGAATTTTTTTATTTTTTGCACAATTTGAAAAAAACTTACCGATATGCATATTTTTTTTCTATGGTCATATTTATTGGGTTTTAAAATAAATATTGATCAATTTTTATAAATTTTTAAGTTTGATCCAATATATTTCATATTTTTAAATCACTATAAACTGAGTTTTTTACATTTTATTTTAATAATTAATGACTTTATATTATATAAAAAATTAATCACTACCTATTATATATAAGATAAACAATGACAAAAGTAAGAGAATAAATAAAAACCTAAATATATATATATATATTAATCAAGCCAAATAGATAATGACCACACTTATTATTATTATTATTTTCAAACAACATATAGATAGACACACACAAACAAAATGGTTGAGTGATAGCAACTGAATAGAATAGTATAGGTCTTACAGTTTTAACAAACCAATAACATGTTCTTCATCTTCCCTCTTCTCTCTCTCTATCTTTTGTTCCTACATCTTCCCTCTTCTCTCTCTCTCTTCCCTCATTTTCAACTTTTTTTTTTTTTGTGTTTTTTTTTTCCGTGTGTTTTTTTTTTTCCAAAAGAAGCAATTCGGAACCGTTACGTAACAGTGCATAACAGGTTGTTACGGTCGTTACGGCACCGTTACGACCGCTATAGCAGCCACTACAGCCAATACACCTGTGAATCTCAATCACACTGCAAAAGTAGCCGTAACGGGTGGCGGTAACTACCACAACCGTAACGTAACGGTTGCGGCCGCTTTTTGAAACCTTGATATTTAGCTTTGGTTGTGGATCTTAAAAATTGAAAAAAAAAATGGTTATGAACCTCAAAAATAAAAAAAATAATTAAAAAAAAAGATTGGATGTATATCTTTGATTGTGGATCTTAAAAATAAAAAAAAAAAAAAAAGAAAAAAGAAAAGAAGTTGGTTGTGAACCTGAAAAAATAAATAAATAAATAAAAGAAAAATGATTGAATGTATATTTAGTTTTGGTTGTGAATCTTTAAAAAAAAAAAAATATGGGAAAATTAGTGGGTACCCATCCCCTGTGGATATTTAAAGAATATCATTTACCCTACCCAATAGATAAGAAAAAAAGAGAAAAACCCATGTATTTGGGTTGAGTCTCCATGGATACGCACAGGGTAGGTTATCCATTGTCATCCCTAGTAACATGACAATTTTATCAACTAAAGCGGAAGCATCTCACAGCAATTTAACTGAAAAATAAATATATGAACAAATAACAGTCGGTTATAATATCAAACATCAACACATGTTGTGTACCTCCATAGGCAACAATATCCACCTCCAAACATGCCTGCAAGAGAATGGTCAAAATCTTAATATTACACATACAAAAAAGCGCATAAATCATTTACTGATGTGTGTGAGAAGCCAACACTTAAACTGAAACAAGTGTTTCAAGTTCCTTCATAATACGTGCCACTTGAACGTTTCTCATATTCTTCATGTGACATTGACTAATAAAATCATCCGAAATGTCAAAAATTAGTTCTCAAATCTTTGATTTCCTCTATAAGACAGGAACCCCCAGTTTCCACTTCTACTTCTTGCAGTCACTCCACAATACTCACCAATGCTAGTCAGTATGATTCTCACTTTATCCATTCTACTTTCTTATAACTTCAATAGAATTTGACATGTTTTCTTTGTTCTCAATTATTTTATTTTTTAAAAACAAAAGGTGAAAAGTAAAAAAAACTTGTTCAAGGATCTTAATAATTGTTGAAACAAATAATGTTTCAGTGCATTTTGCAGTATTTCCGTGAGCGTTCATTATGTTTCAATAGAAACATTGTAATTTCAACTTTCCATCAATGTTTCATGCTTTCCACTTCAATGGTGATGAAATGAAACTTAAATCCTTGATCAATATAACCAGCATATCTTAAACCCCAATTTTTAACATGTTTTTTTTTTTTTGGTTTTAAAAATGTTAAATTAATTGATTCCCAATCACAATCATCCTTTACCCTTTACTTTCACTAAATTGAATCTACTTTCAGTAGTTGGAAGCAAATAAATTCCATGATCAACATACATGAAAATTTAAAAAAAATTAAAATAAAAATCAGATCATATACACAATTGACTCGTATACAAGCACGAATCATGAATAAATGGAGTGTTTGGCGAAGTAGAAATTACCTGACGAGCAAGAGAAAGGGCATGGTATTGCATTCGAGGACTGCGGCCAAAATCGCCGAGAACCACCACCGCCGCCCTATTCCTCCGCCCAATCTTTGCCTCTTTTTGCCCTGAAATCATCAAATTGTTGTTACACAAACTTGTCATACACTAAGTTTTTGTATTTTCAGGATCACAATTGCGAAGAAATCTCAGCTCGATCGCTCTCTCTCTCTCTCTCTCCCCGATGAACACGAAGATTTACGGAAGTCGCGGAACTGTGAGAGGTTTCATGGGTCGGGGATTCGGGTTTTACTCTTTCGATTTCGGGTCGATGGGTCGAATTATGTCTGAATCCGTTTTTAATTCGACCCGAAAATCCGAATCTGTTTGGAAACTGATTAATAATCTGATTCAATTTTGAGAAAATAACAAATAAAACTTCGAGTTTGATCATTGTAATGATACAAATCTTAATTTTTTAATTTTTTAAATTTAAAATCTAATATTTTGATTTATTTTTAATTTGAATAATTTTTCTATTTTTTTAAAATAAAAATGATAAAAAAAATAATGTTTTAGTCATTAAACTTAAGATAAATAAATATAAAATACCTAAAATACTATTTTTTTTTATATTAAGTTTGATAACTAAATATCATTTTTTTATATCAATTTTACTTAATAAAAATAGCCTATGATTTATGACAAAAAAAATGTTATTTAAGTCATTAAACTTAATATAGATAAATATAAAATACTTAAAATACTATTTTTGATTGAGTTTGATAACTAAAATATCATTTTTTTTAATCAATTTTACTTAATAAAAATAGCCTGAAGATTTATGACCCCCAAAAAAAAAAAATTAAGTCATTAAACTTAATATAGATAAATATAAAATGCCTAAAATACTATTTTTTTGGTTGAGTTTGATAACTAAAATATCATTTTTTTTGTGTGTTAATTTTACTTGATAAAAATAGGCTAATAATTTAGATTCAAACAAATTAAAGGATTAGATTTTTAAATTGAAAAAATTTATAATTCATAATTTTTTTTTTGTTTGTAATTTCCCCATTAATTTTGTTAGTAAATTTTTTTAATATTTTATGTAAATTTTTTATTTTTTAGATATACCTAATCTTGATATATTTTTTTAGAGTGTAATCTAGATACACTTAAAAAGTATAATATTTGTAAAAAAATAAAAAATTTAAACAATCACCAAATACAAATACAAAAAAAAAAGAGTATATTTTTATATTTTGTTGTATTTGATAATTTTTTTAAAGATTTTTATATAAATTTTATATCTTTTAATATATCAAGATATAAGTAGATCTAAAAAAAATTTTTGATTAAAATATTTTGAAAAAATCACTAAACATACAAAAATATGAATTGAAAAATTAAAAAATTATTTTTGAAAACTACAAACTAAACAGTGTAAGTTATATTTCACTTTTGTGTGTGTGTCTCTATCTTTATTGATTTTTAAAAATTTATTTTTAGATTTTAATGAAATTTTAATTATTTTTTTATATTTTTAGATGCATCTAATCAAGATCTATCTAAAAAGTAAACAAATTGACCCAATATATATATATATATATATAATCATTAAAAACAAATAAAAATTGAAAACTCTAAATCTTAAAGTGTGAAGACTTAAATCCTAAACAAAACACTAACTTGCGCATATTAGCGGTGTCTATAACCCGCATTTTTTAAAAAATGTGGCATTGCAAAGATTTTGAATGTTTTCAAACACTGATAAGTTTATTCTGAAATAACAATAAATTAGCAGTTGACCCGTATAATGTATGTTTTATTTTATTTTGTTCAAAAAATATTTGATGGTACAACGTGTGTTATAAAAGAATAATCTTAATTTTGAATTAAAATTAAAATTAAAATTAAAATTAAAGTATGATTTTAATTATTTATTTCGAAAATATTGGCTTTATCATTTTATAAAATTGTTACTTGAATACTTATATATATTACTTTTAGTTAAATTATTTTTGTAGTTTGATAATTTTAGTTCTATCGTATTATAAAAGTGTAATCATCATATAATAATTTTGTATGATACATTTTAACTTATAAAATAGTAAAATAAATACTCATTTTGATATTAAAAAGGGGCATTTACACATAAATCCTAATTTATGAACTTATACTCCATTAAGGCCTCGTTTGGGAACATGCTAATTTAGTAACTTTTTGATTATTTGGCTAAAATATGAGCTAAAAAAAACTAATATGTTTGGGATGACTTTTTAGCTTTTTACGAAAAGATGTGCAAAAAGTAAAAAGAAAAGAGAATCTTTGGCTTTTTTGTATGGATTGTTTGCTTTTTGACTAATTTAGCAACTTTTTAACTTTTTGGCTAAACTGGCTAGTCCCCAAACGAGGCCAAGTCCTAACTAAGATTTTTTGGACCTCCAAGTCCCATTAAATCTTTAATCGTCGAAATTACCTTTCAAACAATGATTGTTCATCATTTATGACATGATGATTTGACATCTATTTTCATTTTCAAAACTTTAAACTATCAACTTTCAAATTGAAAAAACTAAAAAAATTATGTGCAAAAAATATATATGTATATATTTTTTTTTGAAAAAATTGAAAAAATTAAATTATTTTTTTGTGTAAAACTGAAAATTTTGTGTTTATAAAAGAGCATGATGATAGAACATTGATGTGCAAAACTATAATAAAAAAAAAAACTGTAAAAATGAAAAAACTGATAATGTTTATAGCGTTTCTGGTTTAAGACCAAACCCATTGTATGTTTTGGATCTGGGTTTCATTGTCTTATACAATTGTCCATGTCTTGGTTCCCTTTATCTCTCTTTGAGTTTAGCATTTGGAGCGTGTTGGTTACGTTTGGAACAGATTGGTAACTTGTTTTTCAAGTTGTTAATGCCCAGAATTTTGTTCTTATGCTCGAGCGACACTTCTTGAGCTCGAGCGAACTTTGTGAACCTCCATTACTTTTGTAGATTTGCAAAAATACTGAGAGTTTGTATTCTTCGCTCGAGCGACGCTTATTGTACTCGAGCGATGGTCTTCTATCTGTAAAACTACTAGGAGATTGTATTATACGCTCAAGCGGAACAATTTATTGTGTTTGGTTGCTAGAGCGACACTTCTTGCGCTCGAGCGATCTGTGCATATATCAGTTCATAAACAGCCACTTTTGATTCACTTTTTCACTTCTCTCTCTCTCTCTCTAAACATTTCAAAATCCTAATTTCTCTCACTCTCTCTCTTTCTAAAAATCATTTATTTCTTTTGAATACATATAGATCTGTCGATCTTTTCACCTATATCTCTTTGTTAAAAAGGTAGAACTTGGCGAAGACTTCGTTCTAATCAGAGCAAAGTTGATTTTTAGCATCTTTGAGTTTCTATAACTCCTTCAATCATCTTCTAAGCTTGAGATGGGGATATCTCCACTCTTTTTATGAGTTTTGACTTAGTTATTTGTTATTTCTAAACAATATTGAGATTTTTGGAAGATTTGAAACAATCTAGGATTTCGGGTAAAAATCAAAAAAGGGGTTTTTCAAATGAATCATTGAAAATAATTTTGATATGGAAAAAAATGTTAAGTTGGGAATAAATTATTGATTTTGAATATTGGGATTGATTTTGGAAAGGAAATGGATTTTTCCCTAAATGTTTCAAATGTTAATTTTATATAAATTATGAGATTGATTTTGAAATTGTGAAATTAGATTGATGCTGATGAGGATGGTGGAGTTAGATATGTATTATCACTTACATTTTGAAAATTTGGAGAGTTTATCTTTATTGATAATTGTTTATTGTAGCTGGTTTTTCGTGCTCCTCGGAGGGGTTTAGTCTCCTCGGATACGATAGCCCTATAGTTTGGATTCCCGTGGTTCTGAATTTGGTTTTCACAAGTGCAATGTGAGATGGATAAAACACAAATGAGTCTAATTCTGGCAAATCTTTTTGAAAAATCCTTTTATGACTGGAGATGCCGAAAATGGACTATATTGCCAGATTTCAGAGTCGCCACCTAAATATTTTTTGAAAATTTAAGAAACCCGTGACTCGTGCCAAAGGCCACTTGTCTAGCATAACCAAAGTGTCTCAGCTTGAAGGGGAAAGTCATGAATTAAGCAATCCACTCACCCGATCAAAGATTGGCCTCCGCTAATCATGATGTGATTTTTATGTACATTATATGCTCTTGTTTCGGTTTATTATACTAACTTTACTATGTGAAGCACACAAGTATAGACTACTCCATTCTCTTTGGAATGCTTTGACTTCATGTTTATTTGAGAAGTGTTTTGAATATGTGTCACTTGAAAAGGTGAGCTCATATGTACATTAATCAAATCATCCAAATTCAAGCGAAAAGCCTTCATCCACTAGCATTCAAGAAATGTATCAAATAAGCACTTAGCCTCATGGAATATGCTTGATATGGCAACATAAACATGCATGCAATATGCTAAAGTAAGAAATGCTCACCTAGTACTCAACCGAGGCAAGCCAAAATAGAAGAAAATAGTTAGAAAAATGCATGCTCTAATATGCAAAGTGACTAATGTAATACATACAAAATACAACTACTAGGTTCAGTTTCTTAAAAAGGCATATGGCTCAACTCAAAGCATGCGATAGCGCACGGATCCAATAAGCACTTAGCCTCATGGAATATGCTTGATATGGCAACATAAACATGCATGCAATATGCTGAAGTAAGAAATGCTCACCTAGTACTCAACCGAGGCAAGCCAAAATAGAAGAAAATAGTTAGAAAAATGCATGCTCTAATATGCAAAGTGACTAATGCAATACATACAAAATGCAACTACTAGGTTTAGTTTCTTAAAAAGGCATATGGCTCAACTCAAAGCATACGATAGCGCACGGATCCAAGGAAGTAAGAAATGACAGCAATGTTAGAATGATGAACCGAATCCTATGTATGCAAAAATGGATATTTACACATAGTAATGATATAAGACCAAAATATGATGCTATATATAACCATTGTAAGCAAGTAAATAAAAGGGAGAAAGAGTGGAGGTTGGAAGGCATACAAAATATTACAAGTTTGCTCTTGCACGGGAGGGTCCAAATGTCCGAATGTTAACTAATTATTACAACACCAAATAAATGAATACTCTAAGTTAACTAATTATTACAAATCTGAATTAAGATAACTACCTAATTACAACACACTAATTTTAAAGAACTAAATTAATGGGACGGAAGGCAAGGGGCCACAAAAACGTAA